CCAAAACTGCCCTAGGGATCAGGGTTCCCTAAGTTTACTGATGGAATGCAAATAACAGATACTGCGCCGTCTCCCTTTCCCTTCCACCTTCCAGATATTACCCCCTCGTGAAGAATCGGAAGAAGCTTTACACTCGCAGGCGAGCCGGTCCACAGACGGAACCCGCCATAATCAGAACACCCAACAAGCGAAGGCATCTCTACGTCCTGTGATTTGAATTTGAATTTGAAAGCTTTAAGTGTACCATTCACAAGTACTCGTTGAGGTCGTTTGCAGGGGGTTATTCAAANAATGTGTAAACACTGGTGACTTTTTCCGCGTGCTTGCGAAGGTTTTACAACGTTCAAATGCAGTAAATAAAACCATCATGAATGACGCAGAACGTGGCCCAAATTTTATTTCTGACAATCAAGGAAGGAACTGGCTCCAAGATAACTTGGAAGAGAAGATCAACTCAGTAGGATAATTCCATATGGTGATTTTTGTCGACAGATTCGTGAATGGATTACCGGAACAGGAGAAAAACTTTTATGCTCACAAACAACTAAACCATATAACTTTGAAGAAGCTTTGGCTGTGAGAAAGGCTCACGAACAGTTTGAGTTCAAGTGCATGGTAATCTGTCTCTCATGAGAGTGCTATTTCTTCTTTATTAGAAAGCACTCGAAGATTTCGCTTCTCTGTGTGAATACAGAAAACAAAACATTTCTCTCCCGAAGCTGAACGAATTAGATTATATGGTACAGAATTACGTCGATCGATTGAACAAGCGTACCTTTTTTGTGGTTTCGTGCTATACCTACTTTCACCTTGTCGAAGAGGTAAAACATCATCTGTTGTAAACTGTAATTCGAAAGCTCTGGAAAGTTTTAGAAAATCTTCAAAAGCGATCAAAAGAAGTGAATACTTACAAACTAGTTTCAATCAAACATGCAATCGAGGAAATTGAGTTAGGCATTGGAAAATGCAAATTACAGTTGAATCATATTGCCCACGAATTGGATAGATTGAGAGTTATTTTGACTTCAACGGATCAAGCTTATCTGAGCCAACTTGAAACGAGTTTCGACGATACGTGCAAAACTGTCAGTGAGCGGTTGCAAGAAATGAGAATTCGTAAATTGGTCTTGAAGAAACATTCCAAGGTACGAAAGCTATTCAGCATAATATTGCACTATTAACCTATCTGATAAAATATAAGAAAGATATTTATACAAGGGCTCTTTTCCCCCAAACGCACTTAGTAGAACGATCTGATACGTAGTTACGGTTCCTGTTTAGATATGAGCTTACAAGATATAAAGCATTTTCATTCGATCGTATGAGTGGACCTATTAGTTTAAGTAAATTTTCATTCAAAGTTTACCCTAAAGGTTTAAAAGAAACTATACTTTGTTTCTAATTGTTTGTTTTCAGCTACTGGAATGTGAAGATAACGTCTACGAGTCAATCGGATGGACTGAAGAGCTTATCGAAAATATAGAACTGTTATATCAAGAGAATTGTGTCGGTAAAAATCAAATGGAGGCCGATGAACTTTTAATGAAGTGCCTAGACATATACAAGCAAGCAAAGGTTAGTTAATTTAGACCACGTACGTTTACACACCAATAGCATATTCAACCACTGGCTACTAAACGTCCTGTTAAATGTAAAGCGTTCTTGATATTGACTTGCTTGAATCTGTGTGATAATAAGCTAATTACAAAAAACAGGTCTTTTATATGATGATAACCGCCACCCTTGGGACGAGGAAACACCGAGGAGTATGGAAAATTACTAATCGTTTTGAATTTTATACTAAAAACAATATCCACAATAAATGTTCGAGTGATATAATACAAAATAAAAACCACAGGAATAGCTGCACAATAATTTCTTCATTGAGTAATGATAAAATCTTCCTCTTATGTTTAATTTACATCTACTAGGCGAAAAGTTTCCAAAATGCACTTATTTGTGGACCCTGTTTATAAACGTTTTCTTTGGCAGCTGTTAAGATGAACTGCAACGAGAATAATATTCATTTTATACGTTTGATATTTGATTCAATGAATGTGGATTTCGATCACTGAGGTGCAGTTCTGTGTTTATATTGAGCAAGTGACTTATAAAATGTTTGCAGTGATCAGGAAGAAGGTGCAAAAGAGGATGAACAAAATAAATCCATAATCTGAAATACTAAGTCAGTGTTTTTCTGGTGATGCATGGCCGTCAAAGGTATTTTTAAAGAAATGCATCTTGATGGAGGTTTTATATTTGTATTTGTGTAACTTGTGTAAGTATATATTCTTACATTTCAGTCAAAAATGTGCACTGTTTGTCATGCGAAATGGAATAATAATAATAGTAATAACAACAACAATAATAATGGAATATAAAAAAGGTAGAGAATGTCGCTCATACTTGTTTTGCGTAAAAACACTTTTGACTTATTTCACTTGCGACCTGTGCCATTTTGGTTAGGAGTCGGGCCAGGAAGGGCACAGAANGCCAGGAAGGGCACAGAAAAAATTTGTAACTGTTAACAGAAGACGGTCAATGCCGAAATGAGTTTCGTGGGGATGGATGAGAACGACAAAACGCAGTGGATCAGGATGCAATGGATGAAAATGATCACCTAAGATCCTATGGGCAAATTCAACACAAGAGTTTATGTAACCATCAATGATTTTGTGATTAATGGATCAATCGTAGTTAATGGTACACAACTGGTAATCATCAAACCACGGCTAATGCTTTTGAAGTATTGTTTTAAGAGACCGAGAAGCGCCAAAGAGGAGCAATAGAGTAAAATGAGTAAAACGCACTGATAAACAAAAAAGGATAGAACTGACTTCGGGGTTCGGAATTGCTTGAGTTTGTGTGACTGAAAAGATAAGTGTTTCAGTTTTCCCATACAGATGTAAATGTGAGTATGAAGCTAATCGATGTTGAAAACCTGGCGATATCAGAAGGTTGCGTGTTCGGATCACATTGGGCTCACCAATGGAGCTAACCAATGTCGTCGGCCTGCTGATAAGTCCTCTTTTGGATCTCGAATAAAGCACTAGACCTCCTAGTGTCTCTTTGTCCTGAGTAGACAAAAAACATTCGTGGTGGTCGTAGACGTTTATTGACGTCTTGTGGTACAAGAAAGTACCAAATACGTACCGATGTGCTGACCAAAAAGCGTAAGTAAACAAATGCTATAGCAAAGCGAAAGCGTGTCACACGTGTTGCGTGGGTTTTAAAAGGACCCAGCTTATATATACATCTGAGCGGAAAACCGTGCTCAGTAAAACATAAAAAGTGAAGTAAAACAGAAAGATATATCACATTTGGAGTCAGAGTTAATTGCGAAGAAAACATGAACGGAAAAGGTCCTAGTGGATCGCTTCTTTTCTTCGTACAACCAGCGTCACTACAAGTAGATTAATGAAGATTTATGTTGATGGTGACACCCAGGTACTTCACAGAGGCAATTCTGGATACAGGTTTACAGTTAAGGGTATCATAGTTCAATAAAAATGAGGAGCGTGAAAGACTAAATATAGACTCTACGAGCTTAGATACGTTAAAACCGAGACCAGATTGATCGCGGAACTGTTGGATTTGGGATAGATTTTCAATGAGGAAATAAAATTTCAGAGAAAATTAAGATGTCTGACGTAAAACGACGTTATCAGCATGTTTGGATGTAGAAATAGTAAGGGACCGAAAAGTAACTAATAAAGACAGAAACATTATGGAGATAGAACAGCACCTAGAGAAACACCAGAATTATAAACAAGATGTTTCAATGTCATACTTTCTAATTTGGTGCACTGAACCCTCTCTGTGATATAGCCAGCAAGCCATGAGAGGAGCTGTCTTGGATTGCCCAATGGTTGAAGTTTGAAAAGAAGGGATGATCAGAAAACAGAATAAAATGCGGCTGAATAATAAAAATGCACAATGGACAAACTTCGCCCAATCGTTTGGTGACTTGCTGATAAAATGTATTAGATTGAATACGGCGTCCAGTGTAGATCAGTCTGGTTTATATGCAAACTGAAGGGAGTCATAAGGAATTGAGGTGATTGACTGCAAACGACCCAGGATGGCCTATTCAATCAACTTTAGAGCCTCTGAGGTCAGCGTGATAGGACGAAGCCGTTTCGCAAGAACATTTGAGGACGTGGATTTGGGGATCGGAATAATAACTCTTTGACGCCAGGAATCAGGAATCGATCGGGAAGATAAGGACTCACTGACGACGGATATCATCATATTAGTTAGGGAGGCTGCCCCGAAGTTCAGAAGTGTCGGAGGAAGACCATCAGGGCCTGCGGCTGAAGATGTTTTGCAGAATTAAAGAAGCATACAGATTGGAAAAAGGCACTAAATTGGATTCATTGCATAAGAATGAGGGAATCTGGCTCTCATTTGACTGGTGGATAAAAGCGGCGTTGAGGCTGTTGACGTTCACAAATTTTTCATTGCATGTCTGACGAGTCAGCTGGTTAGGCGTTCTAAACTATGTAAAGTACAGTAAAATGTTTAACCTATACCTTAAAATCCTGGGAAGATACATCTAGATAGTGTTTAAAAAAATATCAGCTTGGCGTTTAGAAAAACAATGTGTTTGTGTATCGTTTATTCGTCGTATACTCATTTCATCCGCGTAATGATGCTGTTATGCTCCGGTTACTACTTCATACCTCCATCTCAGTCCACTGGAACATGCGTGAGAGCGACTCGGAAGGGAAGTAAATCAAACGCGGTAAAAAAATCTTTAGGAACGTTGCAGAGTACACTAAACGAGTCATGGAAGCGTATACTGCAACATGAATTTAAAGGATAGGTACGAATGACATAAGCGCTAATATGCTGCTGGGATAAATAGCCTATACAACACACACCAGATAAAAAGAAAAAAGAAACCTACTATAAAATCTGAATAGTTTGACAACACTTTGTCTAATATGCCTGGAAAACAAAACAAATTAATCAGTTTAGAAGCATTGTTTCATTGCTTAAATGAACGTTGTGTTTTGGAGACTTCATTTATTTGATAAGTTCAATTTATTCAGCGGTAAAAAAGTTATGCTGCTGTCTACGAAATTGCGCTGAGTACTCATTAATTTATATCTCAAAAATGTATCATTTAATTATTATTAGACTACTTATGCGTATTGCAATCAACTGTTGGAAACGTACACAAAGCTTTGCGAGGCAGACAAGCGGAAGCTCCCAAGAAATATTCTTCTCAGTAAAAACCGACTTTTGCGACTCTGGCCTCGTCTAGAGGCACGCATTCAAGAATATCGTCAGAGAGCGGAAGCAGCTGAAGACGTCTATTCTCGGGTAGATGTGGTAAGTACTTTTTATCAGTTCAATCTTCCTACGATCAATTTTGAAAGGTTAGTTGCCTTCTGCTGGTTTTTGGTTGTTTTCAGTATGGTTGTAAAGCACAACGAAGAGAATCCTTTCTTTATTCATCCAATAAAATTTTACATCAAGTGGTACTGCACAGCTGAGAACTACGAGTCAGAGATGCACCTCTTTGAGGTATCAAAAGTTATTGGTAAGATAAAAAATTATATATTTTATTCTTCATACATTTTCCTCAAACAAATCAGTTTATTTGCTTTCTAACATCTGATATTATTGATCAGTATCAGCAATAAAAATCTTTGGAGATAGCAAACAAAAATGTGTAATTTGCTTCCATTTTTATTAGTTTGATTACGAAAATATAACCATGGTAACCCTCATACACAACCAATGTGCATAGTTTGTTGTGGGTCTTTGTATGCATTCTTTGTTTTTCAAACTCAAAACTTTCTCTGCTTATTATGGTAACAAACAATCTTTCGTTTTCTCCTACGCATGTCTTGGTTATTTCTGATTTTAATTTGTTCATTAAAAATTAAATATTCCAAACTTTATGACTTTGATTAACACAGGGTATTCTGGTCTTTACTTTCTACAGAAATAGTACATCATTTGAAGAGTATGGTATATTGAAAAATAACTTCGCAGAAATTAATTCGTGCAGATCACTATGATAATACTCCTGATGTATGATGTTCTTGTTCTGCCAAAAACGTATAAATTTCCCAATTATTTAATCATCTGATCGGCTTTTGATTGATTGTTTTCCTGTTATAAAAAGCCAACTGTATATTTCTCTATTCAATAATAAGTGATTATTTACAACAAGCCAATTGCAATTTATAGAGGCTGAAGTTAACGGAAAAATCATTTGCCCAATCACATCATTGAAGAACTTGAGTAGAAATACTTAAATTCCAATAAAAGTGTACTAAAATATATTGGGATAATAATCGTGGTGATAGGGTTTGAGAACCGCAATTTCTTATTTTACTGATTTGGTTTATTACTATTTGGAAACAAAAAGTAAAATAGCTTGGGTAAGGCTTATGGAAATTTGCCCTCCAACCTTTTGAAACAGTCAATTTATTTGGTCAAATTTACTTTCTCCATGTGTCAGTGGACAAAATATAGTGGAAAGACTATGTATATCGTCATATTGCAATCCTCATTATATTTATAGTGCATCCATTTAATACATTCACTAAAACGGTCTCTATTGTACTCCCTCACCGTCCGTCAGCTTTTGAACCGAGTTCAAGAGTATTTGCTGGAGGCAGCACGCAGTCCAGTTGCATTTGACCGAGTTTGCGGCTCGCCAACTGTGAGTGAATCCATTCCCGTACCGAATGAATCGCAACGCGAACAGCTGGTGTCGATTAAGAATGAGTTCCAGGAGGCCAAGTCACTAGGTGTAGCGCTGGTTGACAAACTTCCCAAAGGACTCATAACGGAGTAAGATTAACAGTTTGAAGCTGTGATTTAGCTTCGTTGCATTCCACTGACAATAGACATATTTGTCCAATAATATGAATAACTATTGCACAGATAATTTATTGTGATGAAATTTTAAATTAGTCATCGGATTTTGCTAGTCTACATCTTTAACTGGTTTTAAAAATAACCTGTTCTATAATCTTTTCAATGAAACCTTTCTCAAACTTATTTTAAACGGTAAAATTCTATACCAGAAGGGCATGATTTTTATGCAAGAATGCAATGCACACAATAATGTTGATTTAATTTAATAGTTGCTCAGTCAGGAAAGAAGAAATTATCTTCAAAACTTTGTACTAATTTCACCTGGTTAAATTTGTTGATTAGATGTCCGAACCGCGACCCAAAATGGTGCAAACTTCTCGAAAATTCTGCATATCGCTTGTATTTATTTTGCTTTGTGTATGAAATCTTGATGAAGACAGAAGGGTTATTTCGCACTTTTATCTACCAATGCTGGAAGACTACATTCTTTCCAGTTTATTTTTCAAGTAATTTGTAAAGTTTTGTCCACTTCATTAGGTTCTCTCAAATAAAATATAGTTTCTTTTACAATTCCAATGAAACCAGAGATCCAATTTTTGTGGGTGTCGTCATGGACGAAGTTAGTCGTTTGATACGTCTCAAACTGTACACATTATGGCTGAAAATTCGCGAATTCGAATATCTGGTAATGGGTCACAACAATCCGGACCAGACAACTGCAAGCGAGTTGGGTATGGACACGCTACACCCACTTGCTCGATCACGATCGACCAATTCAACTTACAAACGCCACGGATCATCATCTGATGTTGTTGCCGAACTCCAGAATGCGCCATTCTACTCACCTTATGATTCAGGGACACTTCGAAACAAACGCTCCCCTAGAGATCGGCACAACCAGGACCCCTATCATCCTCCCATTCCGGCAAATTATGATCCGACTGCGCAATGCGAATCGCGGAATAGCCGAGCTCGCTCTGCGCCGTCCACGCCACCGACAAAAGTGCAAGCAAGTTCTGAGCAACCACTGAGCACAACACCGGTGTATGAGGTGGATCATATAGACTTCCAACCAGCGAAAAAGCAGGAAAAATTACCTTCGGCTAGTAGATCGGCATTTCGTAACCTCAGTTCGGCCACCGAGCGCAGATATCCGACTACACATGACTCGTCATTCGATAACGTAAGTAATATCTTCCTAATATGAACTAAAAAAAATTGTTCACATTGTCATACGCATAGGCTCAGTTTAGGGTATATTCATAAAATCAAGTTTTTAAAATAAAACATTACCGTTTGTGTGGCACGTCAACAGAAATAAAAGATACTAGGCATTAGTACTTTGCACCAAACGTAACGGGATCTACTTCACGTGGATTGGAATATTTTTAAAGTGCATTTCAATAAATTTTCACGTGCATTTTGAAAATAACCGAATCGCTGCTATGAAGGGGACAGTTATTATAAAACTACATTATGTTGTTAGAGTTTTTACTTTTCTGATCAGTATATTTTATTTTAATTTATTAACTAGTTTATTTATTCACCTAATTTATCATTTAAAATAAGAAATTACATTAAAATGCGAAAAATGCTACAATGTAAAGGGTATTCATAGGTTGTGAGTGTATTACTTCCCAGTTGCCCAGCCGGAAGAAGGTCGCGATCCTTGAGTTCCCCATATGAAGCTTTTGAGTGAAAGTATCTAACCTGAAAGGTGACACGGTGAAGCCCAGAGTCTGCGACACAAGATATAATCCTTGAACCGGGTCCATCCAATTTGATGCCTGGGAAAGCCGGTGAATACTGCCGTAATGGGGAAACTGTGTGTGTGATTTGTACGTCTGTTCTTGATTGGTTAGGAGTCAGGAACTTTGCCAAATCCCTAGGTAAGCTTTCGATGATTCATGCACTTGCTTATAACCCCGGATGTTACGTGTTCGTCCTCTCCTTTTGATGCAGTTAACAGGGCTCCCTTAGTACAAGTTAATAGAAACGCGCTATTATATAGGAGGATTTCTTGAGATGCAAGGGATAATCATGACCCAAGATATCCACTCTCAACAAAACTGAGGTTAGAATACACTGTTTTGAGAGCACGCCAAATTTGTGGCCAATACTAACTCTGTTCACACTATTCTACTTGTTTTGTTCACAAAGAAATAAAATGATCAAGAACACTATCTCTAACCTGGTTAGCTATTCAGCCCCACTGTGAAAATATGTACTACTTTTTTCTCCATCATTTAATCAACTCTCACCTGTAAAGGAAAGTGACGGTAGCCTGAACCAGCGGCCGCAGCATGACAAATTGCTCAATAAGTNAAATGTCTGACGGTACTCGGGGCCAAATCCTTAGAAAAACGGCATACTGTGTGCCTAGACAGTTATTCCTTACTGGGTGCGCAAGAGCTCTTATCTGATTCAAAGGGTATTCGGGAAAGTCTTTTCAAGTAACAAGTATACATTGGTTCTCAGTTTGAGTCTGCATCGTTGGAATGACGAATAAGATTCTAAGCAGGCCCTGGCAACGGTGCACCGAAACATTGATCCTTTCTCTTGAAGTCCTATGGTTTTCATAAAGACCGTCTAAACTGTACAAGAGAACAGAGGAAGAAAAGTAAAAATAAGGAAGATAGGAGACGGATTCAAGGGAAAGAGAACAAATAGGAAGTTCCGGCTGAGAAAATACGGACCATACACCGATTTCATCTGTAGGCAGATGTGCTGCTGCGGTTCGATTAATGACGTCTATTTGGAATTTGTATGAGCCACTACTTGTTGGTTGGTAGTTGCTTTTTTTCTTTAACCAAAATGAGCGGTACTGCACGGTATTCTTGCACAACCTAGAGTAAACCGAAGGCTTAACAACGGTGCTCGTTAGGCTTTTGAGGATCGGCGCGTGGCCAATGGAGAATCAAGGTTATATTGACGTAACTTTGACTTCCAGTCTTCTAAGAATGCCGAGGTTTTACTAGACTTGTCGTGCAAAGTATGTAGAGAATTTCTTCCTCCCCCCTCGTGACTGACTAAAACTACCGTAAAAAAAGCAAGAGTCCAACTTAGAGGATTAGGTTATACAATTTTCAGACTATGTGAGAAAGAAATTGACATGAATTTAAGATCCCAGGCTGGAGGTTCGCTTGATTCTAGGAGTAATATTTACTGAAGTTCATTTATTCGTGAAATGAAGAATTGCGTCTTTAAATGAATGAAATATATGGATTGAAAAGTGCTCCTATTTATGGTTAGCATTTTTACTCCGTAAAAAGTGAGTCATGCAGTGAGTCTCACAGATGTGAAGTGACGTTCATGCTCTAGGTGATTTATAAAGCTGCGTGCAGTTTGATAAGTTTGTTAAATGTATGTGTGTGCATGACTGCTTGCGAAATATTAATGAGAGTTAGATTGTGGAAAAGATGTTCCTACTAAAACTACGGGCTAACTCTAGGTTGAAATGTGAATCATATTTGGACTTTTGTGGAAGTTCTACAGTTTTATGAGTATTCTCATAGATCTGATTAAACGTTTCGCTTTTACAAAGTTGACATAGAAAACCGTCCATTTACGTTTTACTCAACGTTATCAAAAGCCTGTTTGTAGTTGTGAAACTGTTCACTGGAGAGGGTGGGATGGGGGAGAGTAGAACGCAATTTTTCGCTGCTCGAATCACCAAGATGGCAAAGAATTCTCATTTCCGAAAGGCAACCTGTGAGGAGTCATGCTGAGATGTTTTTATTTCAACGTGTGAAACTAACATCTCGGCACTTGCGTCGATTTTCTTATGGCGAACGTAATCAAAGCTTCTGTGATATTGTTTCCCATGCTAATGTTCGTGATAATATATTGCCTGTCGAAGCGCCCTACAATACAATTGTGCTAATCTGCTACCCCGAAATATCTTATAGTGCAAATGAATAGCTTATTGGGTTTGGCGTAAGTAGTTCTTTTTGAAAAATCCAATTCGCGATTGAGCTGGTCTAAGACTATTCCGGGGAATAATTCTAACCTTGCAGATTGAGAGACAACCACAGGAACTGAATAGAACGACAACGCATTCCGGATCGAATCAGTCAAGCACGCGTTTCAGACCACAAAGTGGGACGGATGGAGAATATCGCGATGAACAGGACCGTTTCATGAGACGAAATCGTTCCTCGACAGATTCGGGGACACGAAATGTGGAAGGACGCAGCAGCGACTCGCGGACAAAGAGATCCGGATTGGAAAAGTCGACAAAATCTAGTCCCTCAAATTCTCAGGGATTGGGCGTTCGATTAAACGATTTACGTGCAGATTTGGAGGAGTGTAGAAATCGACTGTATGACCTTGTTAATGCGACCTGTCTATCCCTGTCGCAAAACGCAGCAAATGCCTCCCAAGTGGATGAAAAGGATCCGGATTGGAGGACCATAGTCAGTACACAGGACATTAAGCGTATTTCAATGATTGGTGAAGAGGCGGTGGGTATGAATGCAACTGTTCCAGTAAGTTCAACTGGTACTCATCGGATATTTTTTCCAAGGTACTTCAAAATTATTGGAGCTAATTAGTTTCACAAGTGTATGAAGTAGAAGTGCATTGTTCGGCATTCAGCTTGCGGAATAAAATTACATGGTAACTAACTAACGGTTTGACCTCTTTGTTTCATGTGTAAGTGACACCTTTAAGTGTAAAAGTATGCACTTTTGAATATTCCTTGAAAATACTGTAGGTTTCCGATAAAGCTCAGTCCCTCACGTCTTACTAAAGTGAACAAAACAATTGATGATATTGGGATACATGCAAGCAAAATCCCCAATGATGAAAATGTGGATAAATGTTTGACCCTGGGATCAAATATCCCGGGAACCAAAATTGTATAAGATGAGTGACTGTAGAAACTTTTGGTTGCAGCGACGGAAAAACTAGTACGAAAACTGGTTAAAGATGACAGATTGGAGAAAAGTGAGAACCGGATCCCCCAGATGGCCCAATATGAGATGAAGGATCAGCCGGAAAGACAAAGATGAGACGATGCTCGGACTACAGTGACTGACTGACTAGTTTGATGTTCAGATAACCGTGATTTCATCAGATTTCGCTCAAAAAGATACCATTCGATTAGGGAATAGATTGAGAACGCAAGTTGTGATTCTCCATTCGATTTATCGATCATAGTGGTCTATTAGTGCATCACTTTGATCTCGTTTACAGGTACCAATTTAGGTGCTTTAGACACATGATTGCATTGTACGGTTCAGCTGTTATCATGAAAAGTCAGTCTGATCGGTTAACAAGGGAAACTGAACTTCATTGGCACAAAGGGGAAAAAGAGCAATTGTTTCCTTCCCCTGCGATCCCAGTTAGTCGCCTTGGATAATGGTTCATACAAAACTGCCACGTGTGTCATAATTTATCTGATTAGGTCACCAGAATAAATTCAGTTATTCGATACGAAGTGGAAGTTTTACTATGCGGAGGATTTTTCCAAAAAATTTCGGAGTATCACAGATCTGCCAGTTAATTCCTTTTTCTAGGTTCCGTTCACATTAATAAGCAGTTATGATTCTCTCTTATCGGGCCAAATTTACAAATAGAAAATACGGTTTACCGCACTTATTCAGTGCATTGAACTCTCACGGAAAACATGATTCATTCAATCCAGTGAACACCGTGGGAAAAGCCATTATGTACAATTTTCTTTCAGCTTATTCACTGAATGCAAGATCTATTGGTCGGTGGGTGATTAGACGGATTTTCTTCACCAGAACGCCAGTAACACACAAACCTATTCAGAGCTTCATATATTGGCACATCGTACAGTTACGGGAGGTAGATGTAAGAAAGCAAGCATATAAAAAATGATTGTTGAGGGTATGAGGTAATGTCAAAATTGTGTGAGCTTCTGCTGTGAATCATTTAGCCAGAGCGGACGAGGGTTAGGTCTTAAAACTAAGTTAAAGCTAAACTTTACTTGACTTCGAGATTATCATCAGTACCCAAGAGTGGCATAATGAGCTCTGTGAAGGAGTTAATCATTTTAATTGACATCACTTCAGCCGTCTAAGCAATACGACCTCTGTAGAACATCTTCCTTTCAGCATGTACGTCGAACGGAACGAATGTTAATTGCTTGATTAAATGAGTAGTCATGGCAGTGGTTGGTTGGCGTTTCCCGATTAAACTAAGTAGGACACTGTACCACAATGTGATCGGACAGACACCTGGTAATGTTGCTCCGCAACAGATCGAAAATTGGTAAGTATCTGTAGGTAGTTATGTCAAGTNTGTCAAGTCTACAGGGTGTAGAGGTGGTGTTGAGCTGAAAAGAACGCTAGTTTCGGCAACAAAGTAGGCCCGCCTAATAGTTAACCCAGTTCTAAAACTAACACTAGTAGATTCTAAGAAGCTATTATCGCGGTTGAATAGAAGGTCGGTGTGCACATTCTTCGTATTCTCTGTCTCAGACACTGTCTTGTGTGACTGATATTTATTGATGAATTATTCTGAATATCCGTTATCGAGAACAACACCTTGACTTGTTTGACTAGTTCGTTGTCGATTGTATCCGCTTAGCACTCCTTTTTATTGCGCGATTGATTAAGCAACTGGTTTAGTAGGACAAAACTTTAGTGGTGGGAGTGTTGGTTTGTTCTTGTTTTTCTGTTATAGGTGCTTTGTTGTAGTGAACTTATCAGAAGGCTGGACAAGAAAATATCCAGAAATGCTTACTATTCTACGGGTCCTGTTTCCGGGGTGCAGTCCATCTTAGCATATGCTCCAGTAAATTATTCTATTAATCTATTGCTTTTTCATCAGTTGCATAAATCATAATAGTGTCAATCATTCCTCTATAACACAGTATGCTATATATAATTTGAGCCTATACAATTTTATGTCTCACACATGCATCAATTTGGTTCAACTACACATTTGCTTGAAATTCTTTTTCTCTAAACGGTAGGACTGTAGCTATCTTTTCCACTCGTAGTTAGTCTACTCTGTCACAGGTAGCGTGACGTCGAGTTCAAACTTCTTATTTTACACATCATCCAACTATAAAGAGGCACTGCCCCCTAGCTGTACGACAGGTCTTAGTTCATCATAATACCCAATTTTCAAGTTTATCTTTTCACCTTCGAAATGGTGTTTTAAACGGGTTGGTGGTTGATGCAGGCTCTACGTGTCCTGACTGTTAAAGATGTGATACGGTGATCCCCCTGGGATATTTAGTAAATGTTTATACTCTTCCGGTTGGTTACTAGAAAATTATTGATGTCAATTGCGATTGAAGCAAGACAACGAAATAAAATCTCAGAAGCAATATAATTTTACCAAAATTGAATCCATTTTAAATTGCTTCCGCGGTTTTGTCTACGGAATTTCCTGTTCTGTTATAAAATACGTGGACAATTTGAGTGCAAACATCAGCAGTCGGTAGGCATCTGGAATTAATTTCTTCGCCGGAACCTATTCATAATTTGTATTCTGTTAATTTTCTTCATCACTTTCTGAGACCAACTTCTCAACATAATATTTACACTTCAAATTCCATGACCCCACTTTGGTTTTACTGGTGACCTCATTTGTGAAGTTGAGTTTTCCCTACACCGAGTTGGGGTTCCATTCTTGTGTACATGGACACCATTTTCTTTAACACCAAGGACCATAAATGTCTTTGTTCAAGTCAAGTCAATGAACCGCTTTACACACTTCGAGGGGTGGCTATTCAGAAACCACTTAACCGCAGTGTGTCAACAACGTAAAAAAGGGAAATATAATACAACAATTAAAAAGAAATTGACACGAAAAGCAACATCACAAAAATAGTGGCATATAATGATCTTTACCATTAGTTTAGATCAGTAATTAGCGCGGATTGCAATGAATTCATGGTTTGTACGAAATATGGCGAGATGCGGTGCAATAGCCTGCAAGCCTCAGTGGGGGCCGTTATAAGTATATAACGGAAACAGGTGGATGAATAAGATAGGTGCTCTCTACAACCAAGAACAATCAGATAAAAACTTCTTGGAGAATGTCTTCCAGGCCTTGATGTGGTTTGCCAATTAGGCTCATAAAGATTACGTTTTGCATCCCGATATATTTCTGAGTATTCAGATATTGCCAGTTTTTAAAGTACAACCACTCGATCCGTTTCAATTGTTTTTTGTTTCAGGCACAACAGAAATTCATCACCAACCTATTGAATCAAGTGCAGAATGATCCACACCCGGAACTGGAGTCCACAGTGGAAGATGTCAACATGCTTTGGGCAACTTATCAGCGTCATCTGGATGTATTTTTCGAATTCATTGGACAGTTGGATAAGGTTAGAATAACCAACTCATTCAGTTCTTCATTGACTTTTGGTATTCCTGTGAGAGATTATGTTCATTGCATGCCCGTTGACATTCTGTATTGTAAAATGAATGAATCGTCATAACTAAAATAATATGTTCTCTCAGGGCTATGGAGAGAGAATCGATACGTGTAGCGAGATATTGTAAAGAGTCACATATGATGATTTGTGCTGGTCAATCAGTTTCATTTCAATTTTGCATACATTTGTGTTTCATCTAGTTATTGAATACGGTAATCGAAAGAAGACTTTTCACATCTTGTCTATCCTGCTACGGTAGTTTACCTCATTCCTGGAAATAATGCATTTATTTCTATGGGGTCATTATCAATGGAACTATTAACTATCGATTGACCTTAGTTACGGATAGCTGGGATTCAGTCCCCATCATACCATATTTACGTCGCAAGGAATTAGGTGATCTTTCAGTCCTAATAAGAATGATGAGGCCGTCGTCGAACTCAGACATACACGCATCGGTCCGGTCAGATCAGAGGAAGCCTCTTGTAGCTAAAACGGATGAAGTTTGAGCACGCGTCACAAAACACACTGTGTGTGAAAAAACATGAATAAGCTAATCTGGTAACAGGGTAACAACGAATAGACGTAGAGAGCATTTTAGGTTATTTTGAAAAGTGATCTTTTAATTGGTTCATTTGCTAAAAATGCACACCAGTTGGGGGGTAGTTTTAACTTTTTAAATGAATGTCCCAGAAGGAAGAAGTTTACATGAAGATCACTTACTGTCATTGAGTACGGATTGAGGAATCTCTAAATGTACGCAGCGTTTGATTTTACTAAAGTGTCTTATAAAATAGGCCGAAGGTTTGAAAATATTGGTTAACAATAAAGCCAATAGGAGCAATATGCGGAATACCCACCCAATGTGGAGAGAAATGCAGGGGCCAGGAAATTTAGATGAAAGCCTTAGATTTCAACGTGATGAATATGATCACGAGACAATATGATTAATGTAGAAAAATACATGCACAAGCAAAGGTAAGCAGTACACACTTTGAACTTCGAAGAGTTATGAGCCCAAAAGCACATGAAGAACGAGAAAAACTTCAGCAAAGATGTTCACGGTGTGATTGGACTATGGGCGATTGTGGAAAAGAGACCCGCGGAGTTAGTATACGGTACGGGTATTAGGAACAGAACAACCAGATAAACTAAGGAAAAGTATGCTTTTGGACGGACTGAGATGACAAAAGTCCCATATAAGCCTAGAGGTAACAGAAGTGCCTCCTAGCTGTGAAAATAATACAAATACAAAGAGAACATATCAGATAGGTTTCGCCGAATTCGCGATGCTTTTTACTTCATTGCACACTGACGGAAAAACAGATTAGACAGGAATTCGTTCATTTCACCTAAATCGAACACTACGAAAGAATGCGTGATCCCAATCACATTCCCTAAATAGAGAGTCTATTTCAGCACGGGATTAGTCTAGCAACTCTATCACTTACAATCAATACTGACAGCACTAGAATGTTGACAAAATGTATGTAGGCTTGAATTCAATCTGATTTAGTCGGGAATGCCCGAACGATAGCTTTTCAGATCAATGATGGTTCTAAACTGGGAACACAGCAGCCCCGCGTTCCGAAAAAAATTCACTGTATCTCTTCACGGACACAATACAGCGGAAAAATCCAAATAAAATCAAGAAATTACGTAACGCCTTTGCTGAATTTTGCACATATAAAACAGTGTCGTCAAGAAAATAGGACAAAGGATGCAACTAGTTCAAACATATTGGTGCGATAATTGTTCCTGAGAAATGTTGAATAAATAAAAAAGATCACTATAGCTGTGCTCAGATCAGAAATGGGCCCGGGAGAAGAATTCTGAGTCCAATGTATTACCTCTGAGGTCCTGGATATCATTTTCAGTTAAGTCAGTGCTTTGGCACCTAGAAAGGTCGAATCCGCTCTAAAGTGCATCTGAAATCTTCAATTCAGTTTTCTTTTTCCCTGTTCAAGACGATGCTGCTAATGCAGTTCAAATGAATCCTTCACTAATCCGGTGTATTTCTGATACTATCCAAAGACAAATTCTAATTTCAACTTGGATCCCTGGAACCATTTTAAATCTGAAATATTTTTGATAGTATGAAATGAATGAATGAAACTTAGACTTTTGATTGGCTTTACTAAGTTGCTGCTCTATGATGACTGGACGGTGGACATACACGAGCCTGTTAGGCCACGGGCCACGGAAGGTGGAGTGACTAAATGAAACGCTTTTGGGCACGGAGGTCAGGGTTCAACTTTCTAATCCCTATCACTTCGGCTATTTCTACAGTGTGCAGCTGAACACACTGCGCTTGGTGTGGGGGATACGATAAACAACTTTGAAGGCGACGTCCGGATTTACTTGGTATCCGTTGTCAACTAGGTAAGCTAGGATGGAGCTGCTTATTAATCCGGTCTGTCCTAATCTTGCACAGCGTGGATGATGCTCTTCGATCTGGCCGTGATAGATCAAGCCTAAGTGTATCCGCCGTCCAGTCACCCTGAGGCCGTAACTTAGTTAAAAATCAAAGAAATCAAATACTCACTGTCCACGGCCGAATCGATCGCGATTCGGTTGAACAACCCCCGTGTGAGTTCAAAAATTGTCAGTCAGCTCTGGATTTACCTTCGCCAGCCATAAACACTAGAGTGACAAAAAGCCGTTTATCAAATGAGTGATAAATCGTTTAGGTATTTGTTTCATTCAACATTACAAATGACATTTGCAGAATGATTTGAATTTTTCATGTACTCCTTATTGTGTTATCCGTACTAGGCATACACGCGCATATGAAAACAGGCATCATCTACGATTTTTCTGTTTCATTGAATTATTTCATATTGTGAACTACAAAAGAGTGCTGCATTTGGATGGTAAATGATGCACCGAAAACGAGCATTTTTGCCAGATTGACTTCTTAAAGGCCAGTTGACTATGACAAACTCTTACCAATGATTGGTGGTGTTTAACTGTGTGATCCGTTTTCTAATGTTACTTGTGTAATCTGTAAACGGATTGAGAAGGAATTACTGAAAACAATTGTTTTGCCAAATTGTGTTTGTCCTAAATGCTGTGCTGGGAATCTTTCAGACATTAAAACCTAGACTGAAAAGCACTGTGGAAAAACTGTTTTCAGTGAGCGAGATCTCTTCAACAGTACGGCCCCGTTGGCTCAATTGCACCTTAATATTCCGGTTAACGGATTAAACTATTCCATTCTATAGACGCACCGTTCAGCACAGACCCGTCACACATTAATTTTTTCGCTGGACAAGTACATATATGAGTCCGTTACATTTTACAACAAAAGTTGAGAAGGGTGGGGTGCGGAGAAACGTTTTGAATATTTCATTCACAATGTATTATGATTGCAGGGAAATTAGTGAGTTGACACAATCCGCATTCGCCAACAATGCTGGGGTCAGAACCTAGTTTTGGTTCCCGTTTGTTGTTGTTCCTAGTGTGCTCAACTCCCCTTCTTTCGGAGATTAGTACTCAATGATTTTGATTGGGAAATAAAAAATCATTTTCACCAAGTAAAGTTTATTGTTGACTGGGACCGTCATTTGAGGATCTTTATGAAGCTAATATTTATAAAATGATGACGTAAAATTCAGTTGGAACAGATCGAAGGCTTGAACACCAAAGGACAGTGGTATGTTCAGAAAACGGAATAATTTTTACAGTGAGGAAGTTTCACTCACAGAGATCTGTCATATTCAAGAGAGTTGATGAGATACATTCTTAGTGTGATAAGCTATCCCGATCAATAAAAGAGATTTCCCAGTACGACTCATTGGTTTTTCTAAAACCTTAAATACCTCCATGGTTAACTTTATAATTCGCAACCTTTGATGGTCACAGAAGCTTGGAGCATGAAGGTTCAGAACAGAAGCCGTTTTAACACTGAATCGCCTATTCTGTTGCAAAATGCAGAGATTATATATATTACCTTCTTAAGGTTTCCCGATCAACAAGGGCATTACCGAAGTCGAGAGTACCAAGCTCGGCTGTCTGTTTTAGTTACCCGAATGTGTATCTCTGCGAGTTTGTCTCTCATATCGCACCTCGTGATTTGTAATCCAGCAAAAATAATTCCTATTCCTTTTACTTCGACTTCAATGCCTATGTTTCTCTGTTTCACTCGAACGGCACTGAGCAGACTCACGCGAACCGTGTAGAACTTTGCAGGGAAATGCGAACTGTATACATAAAGACCGAGGCAAAATATGTAATCCACTTATCCGAATTTGACAATTGTTGTTGTGTACCCAATGAATACTTTTTATTTCTATTACGAACTGCACTGTCACCCACCTCTCTCCGTCAGGGTTTGGCGGGGAGGACGAGAAATTCCATTACTGAAAGGTAACTGGTTTCATGTTGTTCCTCTTTTTTTCTACGGCAGGGCTATAAATTGTTACCAAGAATTGGCGAGTTCCGAGCGAAGCAACTGGTCTACCTGAACGGTAACAGACAACCAATAGCTGTGTTGTCTAATTTCCAAGTAAGTGATTCGTTCGATCTTTTGCATCACCACAAATCTGGACTTTTTCATGCCACTAGATCATACGGCATGGTTTCCCATCAGTTTAGTTTTCAAATGTACCATGTAAAGACTCGCAACATCAGCCACGTTTTCCAACAGCATTCAAAGCTACATGTTCAGATTCGCCACTAAAGCTTAGTTGACGCTTCCTCATGCATTCTGGATGCCCAACAAGACCATATAACATATTCAGAGAAATATCTGCGAATTCAATTAAACCAAATTAACAGATTAAATGAATAGTCCTGTGTCACCGTGATTCATTTTGTGAACGTGATCCCATCTGTTTCACCGATTTTTCTGAACGGATTTGATGTTATCCGCAAAGGTTACTTTAAAGGCCACAAAACCTCATATGGTTACATCGGAAATGAGGTTTGGGTTACTGTTTAAACATCGCTATCATTTTCAATGATGATGAATGCTAATCATGTTCCCATCCGATTATGAAAAAGCGACAACTCACAAATACTTTAATTTACCCAAACAGTAGTATAAACCAACCTAACAGGAACAAAAGACCTGAATAACTTGGCTCAATTTCATATTAAATTCTTACGCTTGATGCAAAACTTTGTACAATTTGTTTTTCCACTTAAGTTGACCAGAATGAACCGGATCTCTTTCGGGCGCATTGTGAGATAGTCTTGATCTAGTCGCAGTATAAACGTTGCCCAGTAAATCATCGTTGGTTGATCGTGAGATGAGCTGTGAAGAACATTTGGCAAATTTTAATATAGATGAGAAGCTTTTAGCTTATCAGAATGCACATTATCATTCGGTGGCCGCTCGGTCGTGAGATCACCAAATTATCACCTCGGGGGACATGTGTTCGAATCCCACCACCACCGCCTGACATTCCCCGTTTGTGTTTTGTATGGCAGCCGTTTGATTGGCCGCTTCTTCCTTCTAAAAAATTTTACCATTGTGTATCCATTAAAAGGAGGTAAGAAGCGAAAAATGAAATAAGCCCCAGATCAATCTGCGATTGAGGTTAAATCACAGCAGCTACATTTCGAAAATACTGTTTTATCTAAACTGTGTGACACATGTGATTAAAAACAGTTGTGCTGCTTGCGGGCTCAATACTGGGAGCGGTGCAATGAATACAAATTATGCGGATGGGCAAAGGGGATTGTTACTCGAGGTAATCGATCCTCAAGGTGGGTTTAAGCGGAACTCACCGATTTCTTTCGGTTGCATTTGCTTGATCTCATAGTTAAACCAACTGGACTGCTTTGCTGACCACAATCAACATGCATTTGAGAGCTGAGATGATCAGAAAATGATTACTCCTGATTCCCCACATTGTTGAATGTGTAAGCGGTATCCCTGGTGGGATGGTAGGCAACATATTTCCATTACACTATTTAATGGAATCATCTTTGTATGAGAAAAAATCACATATGAAGGCAGAAAATGTGACATCAGTTCTTAATTCTTAGTTCTTAGTGACTATCAGTTCTTAGTTTTTGAAACTGAACAAATACGTACTTGTGAATTTATAGAACTTTCGAACTGGTTAAGAGGATATTTCAGTTCAAAGAAATGTCCAATAGACGCTATAAAATCGCAAGGTTGTAAAGAACGTGTAACGACTGATGTACACTAGCTGGTTGAAGAATGTTCCCCCAAATCACTTAGATACTGTACCATATGCTGGGTCAGCTGAGGCAATACTTGGTCAATCAGTCATTGATTGAGAGGTAGTGATGCTCAGTATGTCGAAGCTCTTACCTCATCAAGATCTGGAGTCCATTATATATTTCTTGGAGATGAAAATAAACAGTCATCGTTAGGGATATCTTTTTCATCTTGATTAAATATATGTGGTGAAATGCGGAACCCCAATAATATGCGAATTTATTCTGAACAGCAATCGTTGCTTACAGGGATAGCGTGAAACAACTGGCAAATCACCTCAATTAGTTCCATTTCCTGAGCTTTGCGGCTGACAGGAGATGTATTTATCCTTTTTAATCTTTCAGTGTCTAACATGCAATTTTCTCCATGTCATTGTGTGCTCATACGTTTGTAGAAAGAGGGCGAAGATCTGGATCGAGAAATTGCCGATGTGATTGAAACAGAACAGCTGTATTCCAGCGCGGACCAGATTCGCGGGCAAATGAACGTTCGACCGAAAATAAATTGGTTAATACAACTGCTCAAGCGCGAGAGGCGTATGATAAAAGATGGATTGGATGATGTGGATTTGATTTTAGCCAATTTGAGAACTGACAGTTCCATGGAAACTGTCGATCTTGCCGCTTTAATACCTCTCTCTCCGTCTATCGTGGACGGTACCCGCGGTTCTGCCGGACGTTCATGTATCAAAGATCAATCCAATGGAATGGCCCATTCAACATCCGCCGGATCATTTTCTAGGTTAGCTGCCGGATCAAGAGCGTCATCACAAGATAAGACACCAACACCGACATTTCCAATGGACGGTCCTCCACCAATACCACCAAGATATTCACTACCCAGAGCACCATCTGCTGTATCCACACAACCCGTTTCCGCCCCGGTCGCTATGGATAGAAGTGAGCATACAAATCCACCGGTATCTCGCGATCTAATCACTGAACCTCTAAGACAACAACCATGGCGTTTTACACGACATCTTTCAGATGTCGTTTGTCAGCCCGAGGAAGAGGTGGTTTTCTCCTGTCAGTTTGTCGGTCCCGTTTCACCGACAGAATTAGACGTGCGGTGGACTTTTCGACCGGTTTTGCATGAGCAAGGCAGATTGGCTTACGGACATAGAGAGTANAGAACGATGTGATCGAAGAGGCCAGTCTGACTCATGCCCGTCTGACTTTGAAATGTGCTGATGCTCATCGAGCTGGACTGTACACAGTTCGGGTAACGAACCCACGAATCAATACAACCATGAAAAGCTCCGGTGAGTGGTCACTGGTCGGAAGTATGCATAGCCAAAAATTTGGTTTATCCACGAACCGGATCGTTAGGACTGCTGAAAACGAGACGTGACACAGTTACGGAATAGAAGCCAAGCGCTGAAATTCGAGTAGTTTACCGATGCAAATAACATAAATTTGCATAAATTCCCTGCTTGTATGTGGTTATGGACAAACGTACAGGTTTGAGTAAAGTAGAAGTTTAGATAATGCTTTCTTTATATGCAAACAGCATCGCTACGCAGGAATCAGTCTCTTATGTAAATGGAATTTAATATGGGTGCTGCCGTGTATGAGTGAATCTTGTACTTCCAAACGTGTTGCCAATGTCTTTATGCAATCCGGAGGAATGAGACTCACCTAGGGCCGGATTGGATAAAGTTTTGGTTACCTTCACGTGTATGGTGGAATGCATAGGTTTTGATTACTCTGTATGCACTTCACTAAGAGTAATTTAAATCTAGACATACAGTCGAAGTTGCAAACTGTTTGACATCAGTTTAGCCACAAGCAAGGAGTTCTAGTTCATTCTAGTTTTCTTCTCATATACATATACATATTAAATAATCCTTAATATAGCATGAAAAAGAATAAATAACAGCAAATTTAAATACATCAAGCAGCGGCAGTTTGTCTTCTTAGGTGCAAAACAGTACTAGGCTCATCACATCCATTCTACTTACGCCCTTCTTGAGCAAATAATCTTCTATCTGTGTTTGATATGTTCAATCGCTTCTATCCGACAAAATACTGTTCCATATTTTTTTTTGTACAGCCACCTTGCAAATCACACCGAAAATTGTGAAAGATGTGGGTGACATGCATGCACAATTGTTGAATTCCGCGACCGGTGCACTGGCTCCGATCTCTCTTACCGTGCAATACAAGGGGTTCATTACAGTGCCTCAGGTAAAATGGAGTTTTGCTGGAAAACCGGTCGATACAAAAATCTGGCAAATTCGAGTAGAGTTGAATGAGTCCTCGATTTTCTCCAATGTGGCACACGTGTTCGATCAAGGTGCTTATGAGTGTCAGATAACCGACTCCCAGACAGGTTTTGAAATCAGATCTGTGGGTAAGTAACTCATTCAGTATAGTTTGAAAATTTTTGGTACCTCAGAAGGAAGGACAGTGAACCAGTACTTATACCGAAATGAAGTGTGCGTTCAAAATTAATTTTCTAAATATTTTATCTTACAAAATAAGCAAAACTGACACAGATAAATGAACACAACATACGCCTAATTAACCTCAATGGGTCTCGTCAGCTACACACATCTTTTAGCTATAATAAGGATCCAGTGGATAAATTGCAGGCTGGAATAGAACCACCCCCGGTTTAGCATCAGAGTAAACTGAGCCATCATCCAACTCCACCATCAAATGTCTGTGTTCTCATTAGGTTGAAATAAGCATAACACGGTTTCCATGCGTTAGCAGTTTTTATTTCCCAAAGCGAATTAAGTTTCGTCAATTTCAGAATAGTTCATCTGCAATGATGGTATGATTCCGTCAAAATGTGATAGCAGTCCTATCAGAGTTTATAAGACGGTACAGTAAAACGTGCCCCTTACGCTTACGGATGTAGTTATCTTCCACCTCAACTGTCCTAAATTCTCCGAGAAGCTTCGTAAACTAAACATTTATCACTAAATAAGCAATACATATATCGATCAGATAGAATTCTAATTACACAGGTTGATTATTCAGTCGAGTTGAAAACGGTTTCGTTTTTGTACGTAACAAATGATATGCATACTGTTCGTAACCATCATCATTTATCAACTCTGTTTACTCCACACAGTGATGGTATTCTTTTTTATACATTATCGATGGTGAATAAGTACCAAATTGAATGCAAGTTACAACCTTGGGAACAGACAGTTCTGAGTCTACTTGGGTTATTCGACCAGCATATGACAGGTTTGTTTCACATTGGCGCTGAAAGGTGTTGTAAACTCCCATTTTATCGACTGGAAGAAATACTGTTGAAAGCTAGTATTTAACTATCGGAATAGTGAATCTTAACTGAGAGTATGACAATAAATGTGCACGCAATTTACGTTCCCTAAAAGTGGCAATATCTTCTGTTATGTTTGAAGAAATTTTCTACAGGTTAATCAAAGGTACTGGATGGCTATTTTTTCATTGGCAGGGTTTGCCATCCCCGTGTCCATATTGTGATACAGGCCTAGAGCTTTCGGATAAAAAGACGTAACTGTTACCCCTGAGTCGCATGGTACATGGCCGAGAGTTGGAATTATGCATTAAAGATGTTCTTGTTTTATTCTGTGAGAGTTAACTTATAACAAGTTTGTAAACTGTTGTCCTGATGTAGTTATCCCTCCTTAGGAGGTTATTCACCCGATTCCACCCCCGTCCAGTCATAATGAGAAAACAAAAGAACGTGATTAAACAGATTTTGGGCCAGTTTTCATTTGTAATTCAGAGGTTTTATCGTGAAGAGGAACGAATGAAACTTTCGTGATATTCACGTAGTTGGAAGTGTGATTTTCAATCAATGATTGCATAAGGGAAAATTTCAGAACCCAAACTCCATGTGATTCTCAGTCCAGTTTTTGAGTGCTCAATACACCCTCAGTTGTGCCAGATGAACCTTAATTAAACAAATCTCTCCAAACTCCCATTCTCGAAACCTGTTGAATTCTGTTTCAACATCTGACTACGGACTTTAATTTGAACCAAAATTTTCGTGGAGGCATTTTCCTATGGAACATTACGAGCGATATGTCATTCCACAATAAAACGCTGACAGAGCATATTTCGCAAACGATCGAACCACAGATTTAAATCAAGATAATGTATACAGCATTTCAAGGTCACAGTATATGCATGCATAATGCAATCGATGTATTTCCGGTAATCTAGACTTCTTAAACCTGCGTGGCTAAAAAATTCCTGTGATTGGGGGAGGGGGGCCATCCATACTGACAGAATTCAAATTGATTGTTAAAGGCCTAGTAAATATTGACGAGAGGGCAGATGCATAATGCAAAGTCTGCGTCACTGAATATCTTATGGCCAAATATAAATGTTTTTTCACCGCCATTCACATCTTTCAAAGTTGAGGCACTCATATCCAATTCGGTTGAAATATACGCACAGTTAAAACATACTCTGCTTGATCGGGTAAACACGAACTATTAGCACAGATCAGCTGCACGCAATCGAGACCCAGCAAGCATCGGAAATAGAGCAAACATGAGGCACCAGACCAAACATTGTACCCGGCGTCCGTGCAAGTTTACATCAAGAAAGCGGTCAAAACCATGCATTATGGTTCTTACAAATGAGAAATTTGGTCAACACAAGCAAAAGGAGGCGGGGCGGGGCGGGGCGGGGGGAGGAATGTGGCTGAAAACAGCTGTGAAGGACGAAAGATGGAAGGTCAATCATAATGGAGCATGCTTCCGTAGTAACGAGCAGATGGACTTATTTCCCGTGGGTAATAGGTAATCATAAGAGGCAAAGCATCAAAGAAGCTGTATCCCACGGTTATGAAACAACAGACAAAGACGAAAATATTTAATTAATTGAAGGTGCTAGAATTATAACTGTGAGGAATTTGGTTCACTGTCACGTTCAGTGCATCAACCAGTCACACTCTATTGGTAAATTTTTCATATGATTGTTTGTTAGGCAGCAACATGTCACTACCGCACATCGACTATTGTGATACCAATCCATTGGGAATGAATTGACCTGTATTGACCAATAAAAGGATTAATTGAACAGTCCTTCAAAAGAGCATTGAGATCGAACTGGATAAATTTTCGGAGTGTTTATGCCCCCGACGGTTGACGACAAGATGGCTGACTGAGGAAATATGCAAATCGGGTTTTGTCATGTAACAGCTAGTTTGACCTTTATGGCCACACATGTTTATAAGAGGAAATAATACTGAATATAGGGCAGCCGTTGCTGATGCCACACTTTCATCACTAATCTTATACTGAGCGTTTGATCAAAAAGGTTTAGAGTTAAGAACATTTTGACCACCGAACTGATTATTTTTCATCAGAATGGAAAGAAACTCAATAGCACCGACTGGAATGGAAATCACCCTCGGCATCTGTGCTTCAAGCTCAGTTAATGAGTAATGGGGGATTCATGTTATGATGGAGACGATGGAGTGCGGTTCCTCATAAAAATATGAAGTGATTCCTTGTTCGAACCCGTCATCGTTTTTTGTGCTCACACTCCTTTTCTCGCTCGATAAATTTCTTCCGTAACCGTTTTTAGGTTCTGAGTGCATATTTTTCCGCGATTAGCAACTCGTCACAGAGATATGATGCCAAATGAGCACTAATTTGAAATGGCCAGGATAATTCAGGTGTTAAGTTCTGTTGAATCATGTGGTGGCAGCATTCCTGCTGTGCACACCACCAGTCTGCTGGTCACATTAAAGACTCTAGTCGATCGGAATGCCGTTACTCCTCTCTCGTGCTAGCTGAACAAGCGTGAGTTCCCCTTGTTAGAACTGGCCAAAATAATCAGTTACAAGATAGAATTCGCTGACAACGACGAAACAATTGATACAGTGGTCTTGCTGAATATCCACGTTCACATCAGTAGAGTCAAGTCAAGTCAACTCCAAGGGTGGATATTTAGTAGAAATTGAAATATGTCTCAATATTTCTGGGGAGTCCTTCATTGAGACCAAATCATCTAATTTTTATTCAATGATTTGTTTTCAGGTGCTCTCATGTTAGCACCAACGAATGAACAAAAAACTCGATCCTCTCTGATGATCGGTGAAAACCAAGCGACTGGGTTCGTTCGTGAAGGAGAGCCACTTACTTTACGCTGTCCGCTCGATCCAACAATTCCATTGTCCGACTGCACCATTGATTGGTTGCATAACGGAAATGTAATCTATACATTCAATCCTTCACGACGCTTAGCAACCAGCCCCACAGTTTTATCGGCCCCAAGTCCCTCAGGAAAAGATCACCAGTTCCAAAACGGAGAGACCATATGGCGTACTTATGTGGCCGAAGGATGTTGCGCACTGGCCACAAATACGGCTCACAAGACGGATCACGGGGTTTACATCTGCCGGATACATTCAAGGGGTCAAGTTTTCGAATCTGAAGGTGAGTTTTCTTGTATATGCATTCTAGGTATTCTTATCAACTTGGAGGTATATTTATTATGAAAAGTAGTGCTGCGATGAAATAAAATGGGATATCAACTGGTATCAGATCATCAGGGGAAAAACTAGTAACTGTTAGCATATTTTGGGTTGAGCTACCGTGCAATGTTACGGTGGCATACACCACGGAAAACCTGCTTAATCCTTATTACAAATAATCATCATTAGCAGTGCATATTCATTGAGCTTGCCGGCACTCTAAACTGGACTTGGTTCACTAAGTGCATAAATTATTTTCGGGGAAATAGGTGATGTCAAACGAACACTACCAATGAACAGTGGGAGGAATTGATGTTGAAAGGAGGGTGGGGTGGCAACCGATGCACACTCAACGGCTGAATCACCTCGATAATAAACAGCAAATAACCTATGCACTGACACCAAACAGCTAATAGTCTGGAGCAGATACACAACCCAGCCTTGGAATTATTGCAATTCAAGGTAACGCTGATGTAACGTTGATGTAAAGTACAGAAGTAATTCCATCGTCAGTTGTTCACCACTGGAGACAAGAAGTAATCGTCCCCCTCCCCAATTCGCATATCCGGGACTGAATTATTTCTTGATCAGTGAAAATGTACTGTTGACAAGTCCCAGCAACAATGACAGGCCGTGCAACATTTCCTCGGCTTTCCTGTGGTATATAGAGCAGATTTAGCTTGCGCATTATTAGTCTATCTGCTGTGATGCAACAATGGTCCACTGCTCCGCGGAACGTTCGGCTTCTTGTGGCACAGTCAATCTCTGAGTTGATTTGTTTGAGTGAGGTAGGCTTCATTGACTATAGGATGATGATCCAACACTGCCAAACGTGAATACTATACTTCAGACGAGCAATCAGCCGGTGTGACCCGTCCTGTTTGGAGGCGGTTGGACCACTGTCTATCAGTCCGCGGGTCGTCAGAATTAAGTGCTGTATTCAAGCAAGGTATACCTTGCATAGTTAACTGTTTGAATCATTCTTTCAGAAATACGACGATATCTCAGTGTCTTGGTTATGAAAGAAAATCAGATGATGTAAAGCAATTGGCACCATGGAGGGAATGAGTAAATAAAGCACAAACAATAGACCAGGCATTTCCAAAACAATCAAAGCAGGTTGTTTGAGAGAAAGAGATAAATTAGTTCACTATAAATGAATTTTCTTAGCGTGCACGTGAAATCCCTTGATACCTTAGATACAAACAGATTACAATGATAAAATTTATCCTAAAACTGAACATTCTTTGCCAACTGGTGATTCCGCACCGTTTACACGCAATCTCGATGAGTGGAGAGCAGCATGGGCCCGAAAAGTTTCGACTAAATTACCTCAAGTTTTATTCCGTCGTTATATTCAATCTGTTGTTCATGTTTCTTAACGATATGCGACCATTTTCATCATGTTTAGTGCTTATAGAAAATCTAACCCACGGGCGAGTAAGTTCATCGAACATTGAATTCCGTGTGAAATGTTTCAAAATAGGATACGTATTCATTGACAGTTTGTGCTTTTCTGAACAAGAGTTCACAAAATGTGCTCGACCGCCAGGGTGGGGTTTTTGTTCATTTTCTTGGGTTTCTGCTTCTGTTATTGTTTTTTAGTGCATGGCTGTCTGATATGAATGATTCGGTCGATGCCGTAATCCTTCACGATGAAGATGGATAGAGAAAGCTCAAAACATTACAGTGCCCGCGGTTTTTTTGGTGACATGCACCACCGAGTTTGTTTTATACTGTACAAAACGTGCTAAAAGCCAGAAACAAGATCCTTATTGAGTTTGCCTTAATCTCTGGACGTTGTGTGTTCAAAACCCATCACCGGGGTTCCATTTCCCATGTCATTGCACCTAATGTATTTTGTTTGCCTGGTCCCCTTCGCCTTCTCGAAAGAGAAGAAAGTTTGGTTTGATAAAACCACGGATTCCGAAGTTTGTTTTTTATTTTCATCAAAATAAGCTTTCATTTTCAGTCCATATGCATAATAAATGCCACACACACATTGGTCGATTTGTTGGTTTCAAGTGACTCGACAAAATACGGTGGTCGTAAACATCCTGTAATTTGCTAAGTGCTTTCATAACAGTTTATTTTGTTCATTTTTGTTTTCTATGGAAGTAACTTTGTTTGTCTCATTGTGATCCGCTGAGTTTGGCGCCGGTTTGTTTAGACTAGCGATTAGCAATTCCACTCCTCCGAGTGAACTTGTGCCCTCACACTTAAGTTCCATAAACCAAGGATAGAAGCCAGGCGTTACTCATTCACAAAAATGGTGAAGAGTACATTCATGCGTTTAGATTCGTACCAGTTTCTTCCAAAGGTGAAAAAGAACAAGCACATAGAACGAGACGGATGCGAAAGTGAATGAGACCTGGAGTATCAAATGATTTGACCATTTAGGCAATCAGTTTTGCTCTTTCGACGGAGTAACTTTCACGTGAGAATTGTAATCGATTCACATGTTCACATCTCAAAGGCGTTTTGTATCCTCGCCACGGGAATTGCAGCGGTGAAGGTGAATACCAAGCACACGTGCTTGACTACAATCGTTCAAAATGCACCGAAGTTGCGGATAAGCTGCTCATGCTTCAGCACAACTTGTGCAATGGAACGTGATTAGAGAGTCCACCACTAGTTCTTGAGCTCCTGCTTAAATGATTCTAGAACAATCGTGGACAGGAAAGTACGTAAACCGTTATCAACTGGGAATGCAGTAGGAAGACTTTTCAAATCCATTTTCTTCATGATAAGGAATTTGTTCACATTTGTTTACATTTTAATGCACTGTCTTCTGCATACCCGTAATCGATAACTTAATGTGCGCTGAAAATTACTGCAAAAACAACAAAATATTGTTTTCTAGCATAAATTAACCTGTATTTTTGAGTAAGTGAATCTGTTTATTGGTGGTTGATGTGTGGTGAATTCCCCCGTTTCTGACTGTCCGGCTGCTTTGAAAAACTAGCATATTTTTTCTCTCTGTCTACAGGGGTAGTCACAATTCCTACTGATCTCGCGTTCAGTCAGCCCCTGAGGCAAATGTCCGTTCAAATAGGGCAACCAGTGACGCTGTTCTGTCAAGTGAAACCTGGTACATTCAGCGGACAAACACAAACTAAGCAAACCAAGTCAGAGGCGGAAGCATTACGCGTAAAATGGTTCTTCAACGAAGAACATTTAAATCCCTACAAATGCCTGCGGATGGGCATTCAACTGCACTCAGCATCATCCGGTTGCATGTCACTGATAATCCAGAGAGCTGGCCGGGCTCATGCCGGTCACTATCGGTGCGAAGTTAGCGGAGAAGATGAGACCATAACCACCGAATGTGATTTGGAGGTCAAAGGTAATGCATTTTTTAATGCGATTGGTTGTTTCATTATATTCATTAATAAACAAACAGCAATTCGTGGTCCACAAAGTATCGTTGAGCCACTGTAACTTAGAAATTAAGACCCACAAATTTAGGGAACATTCAGATTAGATATTTCCTAGAAGCCTTCTAATGAATAAACCAGTCAGTTTGTTGCACATATCAATGCTCCAATTTTTACCACGGTCGCATGCAAGAACACAGTTCATTCATCTCTGTAATGCTTTGTGTTCTATGTTGTGTTGCACAATTGTTGTTAAGTAATCTATTGTAAGAGGTACTATAAATTTCTCTGCATTTTTTATCCCACAGAACCCTCTTTTCTTTGTTGTGGCGACGTTGATCGTCCCCGAATTTGAAGAAGAAAAATTGGGATTGAAGCTGTTGTTGTTGTTGTTGTTGTTATTTGTGCACTCTGAACTACTCGACAGCTGATTGTTTTTTTCACCTTGCTTGTATATGGTGTGGCATACATAATTCATCTGTAGAATTTTAATGGGCGCATCAAACTCCATCCAGCTTAGCACTGGACTTGATTGGAACCATTCCGGAACCAGATCCTCGTTACCAGGGAATATTTGATGTTTTTTTGGTGCCTTATGAACTCNCAAAAATCCCGCGCTGCGAACTGGCACGGATCGTAGATGAATGTGTGTAACCCACAGAACAATTTCAGTGTTTTGCAAAAGACTCCAACCCCTGATAAATGCGATTTTCGTTAAATAACTGTTTCTCTGCGTGACTATTTACAAAATGATAACTTCCGATTGTCTAGAACTGACTGCCCCAAAAATAGTCAGCACCAAAGTTCAACCATCCGACGCCTTATGTGTGAATCAATCAGCGAGAATAATCGTCCGGTACACAGCCCAACCTGCGCCAGAATGTGTATGGATTAAGGATGGTGAACCGCTTCCAATGAATACCGGGGTGTATCAGGTCAGTTTTACCTGCTGCTAGCCATCCGTGCTACTTCTCTTTGTCCCAAACAGGTGATTGTTTATAGCCCCGGGGTTCCCGATTTCAATTGTCATTTGCGTTACGACTAAGTCTGCTTTGACTGCCGCCTGGCTTTCTCACCCTAATAAGCATTTGTAAGAGCCATTCATCATACTTTTGGCGATCAGTGTAAAGAACAGAAAAATTCCACTAGTTTCTCCCGAACAAGATCAGGTGTGAAAAATCGATTGGTATCGTTGTACGTAGGTAGATGTTGATTCTGTTACGGTGGTATTAGTTTTCGCACATTGATGTTGTCAATCTGAATCGCACGAGTTTCTTGTGACTTGCAGATTTGTGCTATCACGATGGTTTTGTGTCTGACTGTGTGTATGTTGTCTTCGATAGTAATATGTACTGCTACGTCACAGCATGCTCCTATTCACGAGAGTGATACTGATGATGCGATCAAGTGGTTGGTAAATGCATCACATGATCGGAACAGGTTTTAATAAAGTGGAACCGAATGCAGTAGATTCACTGTTTTCCTCCAGGTGCTGTGTTGACAGTGTAATTAATTCAGTTGTCATTAAAGATCTTTCCACTCAGAATTATATTTTCGGGTTGTGTGGCTCTCTTAGTGATCGCGTATTCACCGCACTTAACTTGGGATTAATGAACGATGACCAGGAAATCAAGTGGTTGTGTTAAATAGATGGTTTGCAAGCCCTAATGATGGTCTATCTATCAGGAAACGATATAATTACTTTTCTCGTAATTCTTCCTCCTAAAGATGGAAAACCTGGCCGATCAGTGCAGCCTAATTATTCCAAGGGTGCGTTCAGAAGACACGGGAATATATCAACTTCAACTTACGAACGATATCGGGACAACTGAGGCTAGCGCAGTGATTCGCGTTACGAGATCAAGTCTATCACATAGGTAAGTTATAAAATAAGAGTAGCCCGAAATCTGCACGGAATGAGCGAGTGATCAAGATAGCCGAAATGCAAAATATGCTGAATAATGTTTATCAATAATGTAACTAGCATTTTAATTCCGACAATAGCTTATTTTTGAGTAGTCGGGATTAATGAAATCTAGCATTCGGGTAGAAAAAGAATCGAGCTCTGTTCCATCATTCACCTCTCTGGTTCTGGGTCCCAAAATATCCTGAGACTGAACAGGGCAAGAATAACTGAGAAACATTCATATGTTTTTCCCAAGTCTCCCACACATATGGCATAGCGTTTTATATCAATCACAAATACTGTCAGCGCATCATAAGCTTCTTCGGACAAACAATACAGATACAAAAATTGGGTGTCCTAGGGGAGAATGAAATGGACTTTATTACTCAGCTGCTTTCATTCATGGGAGAAAAATTAAAGTAAACAGCTGTACATCCGTAATGATTTCGTTTAACAATAAAGAAAATTTGGTATCACTTGCATTTCTTTATCGCCCAGACACCAACAATAACTAACAGTATGAAAACGCACTGGGTTGAATATGGCAAAATCGGAAATCTCAAGAAATAACTAGTTCTGTTTGTGTATCAGTAAACCAGTTTATACCTTTTAAACTTCAAGTGAATCCGTTGTAACTTCAAGTGAATCCAACCAATCGCACTCCATTTGAAAC